TTCCTATGGGACGTGGAGGGGTAGGGAAGGCGCCGGGCCCCTAAATCGAAGGGTTCTACCCAAGCTACTAGAGCCACAACCTCTGAATCTTCTGGAGTGACCAGGGAAGAACAAAGTAATGCAACTGGACACAAACTGACAATTTTACATTGCAAGAGAGGCTGTTTGGGAGGAGGGGTGCGTGGCGACCATAAAAGCAAAATCCTATTTGTGACCCAGACGGGACTTAATGTTTAGCATAACTGATGTCGAACGCAGAAGAAGAAGAAAAAGAAGAAGAAATGTAACCCGGAACCCTGTGAGAAATATTGACTACAAAATGCTAAAGTCATTACAAGTAAATTCACCCTTTTATGAAAATAAGACATTCCGATAATTTTTGTGAAAGAATAATACAAGTCCAAAAAGCTAGGCGATGTAAAGGTACATCTAGCTTGAAATTATGAAATGTTATTTAAAATGTATATTGGTGATTTTAATAGCAAATCTGAATTGTGTCTTGAAGTAAGAACTTGAGATGGCCCAACTATCTGTCTTGTGAAATCGATAAATCAAGGAGTAGCCGGGTAATCCATATATGAGTGTGGGGAACACAACCAGCAAAACAGCCACACCTAGGATTAATACCCAGAGGACATCAGAAAACATCAAGTGAAGAAAGAATGCAATTAGTCCTTCCAACCTGATACAGCAGGAGCTACGAGAAACGACAGCCAACATAAAGATAAGAACGGATGAGTGCCCTGCTCTATTTGTTATTAAAGATGCGTAACAGTCTTCTTAAAAGTAAACCAAAAGAATCTTTAACTGCTAAATCGTTCTGTAAGTTAACGGAGTTATTCCCATGAGGATTTATAACAAAGCACCACTGTCTGTAGCCAAAAGTTTACTACCCAAGCAATAGGAAATCAAAGTAGTACAATCAGCAGATGATTTAAAATTTAAAGGCCATCTGGAAATTGTACAAGCAAAGACTATATTATTTTCACAGTTTTATTTACAAGGCTGTTTAAATACGATTAAAATTTTTATTTAAATTATTGTGAAATGTGCCAAAAAATGCCAAAATGGCAGACATTCCAAAGCCCCAATTCCAGAAACAGACTTTGCATCACGCCTATAAAAAAGGTAGCAGTCGATATTACAGGACCATTAAGCATAACGTAAAAGGAAACAGGTACCCGAAACGATTTTCTGCAGCAGATGGCACGAAGCTGTTCCACTAAAATGCTGATAACGTAAAAGAAGATAAAAACACAGACTAGGATACCCTACTCCTAATCATATTTTTTGCTAACAGGGAAATTAAAGAAGCAGCACCAATTATTCACTATTTGAACTCTTGTACAGAGGTCATCCATGACGAGCACAACAAATATACAGGAAATCGATAACAAGGAAAATTTACAATTGAATAACCACACAACCATACTAAATGGTTACAAATCTAAGAGAGAAAATAACTGGAGCATGTACTAACACAAAACAGTAATTACAGAATGCCAGCTTTTTGCATCTCAACAATGTTTAAGAAAATTAAAAACGAATATCTTTAAAACCCTAGGACTGTTTTACTGCCACTACTAAAAATATCCAAAAGCAAATAGAAACAATGAGGGGATCAAGCTATCAGAAATCTCAGACCTAGGTGATTAAATCTAAGCAAGCGGAACACTCAAAGTCATATTTTCATTAGAAAAAGTAATACAGAGGTTCACGAACCTGAAAATCTACAAACTACAGTGGAATGCTTCACACGTGATGAAATCCAAGAACATGCTATCAGAACAAATCTGAAAAAAAAAAAAAAAAAAACCACCCACTGATAAACCGGAAAAGTAGACAGACATAAAATAAATAAAACATTTTCGTATATGGAGAAATTGGTGTATCAAAAATCCTTGAAGAGTTAAATCATATCTTTAGCAGCTCAACAGGAAAAACAACCATTTTCAAACATTGTAATATACTAAATTCAGACACACATGTTAAATCAATACCATTTGTTTTCCCTATATATTACAAATAAAATATGAAAATAAAATTAAAAAGCTTGAAAGTAATGGATCATGGAACAATCCACATCAAGCGATTCATCACCTATACTGATTGGGAAAAACAGAACCAGTAAATTAGCTTATGGCGTGATCATAGAAAAAACAATTTAAGCAAATTACCATTACCAATGCAGAAACTATCCTGAATGGTGCTAAATTCTTCTTCTCTCAAAACTCGATCATATCAAAGCTCACTTGTAGTTTCATGTCTCTGAAGAATATAAGCACAGCAGAGCCATTTTTTGGGGGGGGGGGGGGGATTCTCTCACTTTTTACATCTATCTTTTGGATTAATCAACTCTCCTGCAACCTTTGTTCATGCCATGGACTTTGTTCTCAAAGGCATGAAAAATATCTACATTTAGATAATATATGTATCCACTCTCTAACCTTATCCGAACATTTCTCAGTCCTTGATGAGGTATTTACAAGAAACTGTGCAGTGATTATTGCAGTTAGTGCATCTAAGACAGAGACTGTCCAAGCAACATCCGATTGTCTTAGTCATTCATTTCAACTTGATACATAACAACTGATGAGAAACTCATCTCTATAAATTAAGATTGAACTATAAAAAAGGAATTATGTAGTTTAGTTAGTCTTATCACTTACTATAATAAATTCATACCCCATTTTTGAACTGTGACAGCAGCATTTTCTGATCTATACTGAAAGAGCTCTCCAGCAACAATGAAGTGGATGTCAGATCATGATAAGATGTTAAATGTCCTAAAATACTGTTTCTCAACATCACCTATACTTATGTTACTGAACCCAAATCATACTTTTAACAAAAAGACAAAAATGTAGTATAATCATCATATCAGTGGTTCTGCTCCATAAGGTCAATGAAGTTTGACACCCCACGCTTTACCTAATGTATTTTAGTCAAAATCTGGCCTACACAAATAAAAAAAGAGATAGGAAAAAACACAAAACAACAGCAACACTGAATTAAAACTCAAAGACTAGACACTTATCACCAAGCTTCATTAGGTCTGCCAAATATATAATTTGTAAACCTTCAATTTTGCTGACACACTTACAAATCTTAGCATTAGGAGCTTCTAGAAATACTAGAATTTACAGATGGACCTTATTCATACAGAACTAAGTAGAACATATTTCAGAAGGCAAATATTCACTAGCTGACCCCCTTAGCAGATTGTGTGCGTAACTGCTACTTTGAAAACATTCTCAATGCACTTACAAACTTTGACCAGCTTAACATTTTTAGGAATCAACAGAATTAATTTGGGAAATGAATGAACTGTCACTGAGAGTAATAAATCAGTATTTAAAAAAAAGTGCGATGTTATAATTTTTTTTTTATTTACAGGGGTAAAAAATGCACAATGTAAGCCTAATGTAAAAATGTATATACGTCTATCAAAATAAGCCACTGAGGAACAGTCTAAACTATTATTTAAACCACCAAACATACCACCTAAGCATTCCATCTAAGCATACCATCTAAGCATACCATCTAAGCATACCACTAAATTGCAACAGGCCTTCACCTTTTAAAAAAACGTTTATTTAATACAATATGTATTATGTTTACAAATGTTTCACAGATGAAGAAGAAGAAGAAAAAGAAGAAGAAGAAGAAGAAGAAGAAGAAGAAGAAGAAGAAGAAGAAGAAGAAGAAGAAGAAGAAGAAGAAGAAGAAGAAGAAGAAAACATACCACCTAAGCATACCATCTAAGCATACCACTAAATTGCCACAGGCCTTCACCTTAAAAAAAAAGTTTATTTAATACAATATATATTATCTTTACAAATGTTTCACAGATGCAAACCAATTATAAAATTGGAAACCACTTTACAAAAAAAAAAAAACCAAAAAAAAAAAAAATTAAAATACCTTCAAATTATATATATATTCACAAATTACTCTATGTGTGGAGTTTAAACCACTAATTTCAATATTATCGAAATACCACTGATGCATGTGAATTCATGTACATTTCATCAATTTAATTTGTTTACCTTAATAACTGACTATTCATTTCATTCTGTGAATCATTTAAACTGATTACCAAACATAATGTCATGACTGACAAATGTCAAAATCTAGAGTATTAGACACAGAAATCTGGGAAAGCACAAGAAGAATGTAGATTTACTTACCATTGTATTCACATTTGTTACCAGTGTGTTATTGTACACATTTATTTTTCTCTAAAGAGTATTAAAACTAGCGATGCAATTCGTAAATTAAATAAAACTATTTAAAAACAAAAAACAAAGTTGACATTCAAATGTAAAGTAAATGACAGCATCTATGACAAGGAAGCAGTCAGTAACTCAGCACAACATTAACTATGACTAGGAGTGCTTTTATTCTTCAAGGTCAGGGGTTCTCAACCTGTGGGTCATGACCCTTTTGTGGGTTGAATGACCCTTTCACAAGGGTCAGTTTAAGACCATCGGAATACACATATTGATTGAAGTAATGAAGTAGCTACGAAAATAACTGTATGATTGAGGAGTCGCCACAGCATGAGGAACTGTATTATAGGGTTGCAACTTTAGGAATATTGAGAACCCCTGTTCTAGGTACTCACTACACAGTGTCTTTTAATGTGTGTCAGTGCTCACCACGACGTTTCTACTACATTAGCACTGACAAAAATACTTTTAAAAAGTGCCAGTACTTCATACCATTGCATACCACGGGGGAAAAAAAAAGCCATTATGACTACAAGACTAAACAGATGCAAGAGACAAGAGGCATTCAAAGACAATCGAAAGCTTTCTTAGCAAAGTTTGTATCCTGTGAACGAATGTACTTCATGAAATTAATTCATCTGCAATCACGCACAATTTTGACATCACATTAGCAGTCAGTGAGTACATGAATGGAATGAACACTTAAGAGATCTGCACAAGGAGACTGATGGATCATGATGGACTGTTACATCAAGACGGACTGATACTTCAAGACGGACCACTTTGTCGTGTCACATTGCTGACTTTGTTGCTAATACTCCTACCAACACGAGCTAGCAACTTATCCAACCCTCCCAGCTCTGTGATGAGCATCAGTATACAGTCACTCTGATTAACTTCAAACTCTGGATGCCACCTTGTTTCGCGGGCATAAAATGTCGTGTTTTGTAAGCAGCTCTGCTTAACGTGTCCTAAGAGTTGTCGGAAGTTGGCCAGCTCTTGATGGAAGTCGTCACCAAGACTGTTCAACTTATTCTGAAATATTGCTAAGTAATGGTTGTACAGGGAATAATCAAGGTGACTTATGTTGCGGTGCCGTTGGTAATCCAAAATGGTAAAGTTTCTATCTGGTTTGTGTTTGTTGGTATTTTTAGGAATGTATAAGACATCTTTTATTTCCCAGCACAGCTGGCGCTTTAGAAGCAATAACGATTCATCAAAATACTCCATGATCATGACTAGGCTGAAGTCCCTGTCCATTTGAGCAATGTACGCGTGTTCTTTCTCAGAACTGAACCATTCCTCTCTGCCCATGCCCAAATCCTCAGCTTGTTTGTTTCTGATATAAGAAAAGTAACTCACTCCGCGTTCGTATTTAATTGGGTTAGCCAGGTACGTGGAGATGGGGTTACTTTCATTGAGAATATCCGCGTTTCTCAGTGCAAAGGCCCGGTCTATATGGTAATATTCAAAGGCGGACACAAACTGTTGGAAAGGTTGCCGCAGAATTGTGATGTAAGATGTGTTGCATGGCATAATGTCACGGAATGCTGTACGGTTGTAGATAGCGTGGTTATACAGTATGTTGTATTCTTGACCTGGAGCTAGTGCAATGATCTTCTCCTTGGTCAAAATCTCTCCAGGTTTGGAGATGTAGTTGTAAGCGTACACGTGCGACCGGGTGTTGGGCAGAGCGAAGTTGAGGTTGTGAGTCAACCCGTAACGCTGTAAGATGTTGGCTATGGTAGAACTGCCAGCTTTGTGGGTCTTCACGAAGGCGATGTTGGACACCGGTTGGCATGTGCTGGGTGGCCGTGTCACATTCTCCGGCACCACGTAGTTGAGGAATCTCAGTTGTCCTTTCAAAGGACGCGTGTCTGGTAGTGGAATGCTGGCATGGATGCTGGTGAGTAAGCCTGGGCTGTCGAAAGTTAGTTTGAATGTGTGTGTGATCATCAATGACAGCACCAGAAGAGACGCTGTCACCACCAGGCTGTGGGAAGAACAAGAGGGTCTGCATTAGCTTCAGGCTGTCCACAACATTAAATCGTTCAATGTGGGGACACCAGCACAACAAAAACATCAGGCTGTCCACAACCTTACATCGTACAATGTGGGAAAACAGCACAACAAAAACATCAGGCTGTTCACAACCTTACATCATACAATGTGGGGACAACAGCACAACACAAACATCAGGCTGTCCACAACCTTACATTATACAATGTAGGGATACCAGCACAACAAAAACATCAGCTGTCCACAACCTTACATTATACATTGTAGGGATACCAGCACAACAAAAACATCAGGCTGTCCACAACCTTACATCATACAATGTGGGGACAACAGCACAACAAAAACACCAGGCTGTCCACAACCTTATATCGCACAATGTGGGGATACCAGCACAACAAAAACATCAGGCTGTCCAGAAACCAACATCATACGATGTGGGAAAACCAGCACAACAAAAACATCAGGCTGTTCACAACCTTACAACGTACAATGTGGAGACACCAGCACAAAAAAAAAAAAAAAAACCACATCAGGCTGTCCACAACCTTACATCGTACAATGTGAGGACACCAGCACAACAAAAACATCAGACTGTCCACAACCTTACATCGTACAATGTGGGGACACCAGCACAACACAAACATCAGGCTGTCCACAACCTCACATCGTACAATGTGGGGACACCAGCACAACACAAACATCAGGCTGTCCACAACCTCACATCGTACAATGTGGGGACAACAGCACAACAAAAACATCAGGCTGTCCACAACCTTACATCGTACAATGTGAGGACACCAGCACAACACAAACATCAGGCTGTCCACAACCTCACATCGTACAATGTGGGGACAACAGCACAACACAAACATCAGGCTGTCCACAACCTTATATCGTACAATGTGGGGACAACAGCACAACACAAACATCAGGCTGTCCACAACCTTACATCGTACAATGTGGGACACCAGCACAACAAAAACATCAGGCTGTCCACAACCTCACATCGTACAATGTGTGGACAACAGCACAACAAAAACATCAGGCTGTCCACAACCTTACATTAAACATTGTAGGGATACCAGCACAACAAAAACACCAGGCTGTCCACAGCCTTATATCGTACAATGTGGGGACACCGGCACAACAAAAACATCAGGCTGTCCACAAACCAACATCATACAATGTGGGAAAACCAGCACAACAAAGACATCAGGCTATCCACAAACCAACATCATACAATGTGGGAAAACTAGCACAACAAAAACATCAAGCTGTCCACAACCTTACATCGTACAATGTGGAGACACCAGCACAACAAAAACATCAGGCTGTCCACAACCTTACATCGTACAATGTGGAGACACCAGCACAACAAAAACATCAGGCTGTCCACAACCTTACATCGTACAATGTGAGGACACCAGCACACACAAAAAAAACATCAGGCTGTCCGCAACCTTACATCGTACGATGTGGGAACACCAGCACAACAAAAACATCAGACTGTATACAAACCAACATCATACATAGGCGGGGAGGGGGGGGGGGTGGGGTGCTTTCTAGTTTCAAGGTAAAATAATGGAAGAGCCATTGTATGACCATTGTAAAGTAAAGGTCCCTTTTCCACGCCTTTAGACGTATAGGGCATATAGGGCTAGACCTAAATTTTTATATACCAATCGGCACAAGATGGGTGATGTGGTCAGCATCACACCGGCCGCCTTTACTTCCCCGTACTGAATCCGGTACCTACTCAAGGCTGGGTCAACCTGGGAGTTAAGGTCATTTTTGAAAAAAGTGGGGGTCAGTCGTAAGACCATAGTAATAATAATGTGCTAGACAAATAAACACAACACTATATTTGAAACAACTTCAAATGGAGAAACAAATACTTTTAAGAAGAATTTAGAATAATGTTAAAGGTGGGCGTAAGAAGAATTTCCAATAATGTTAAAGGTGGGCGCAAGAAGAATTTCAAATAATGTTAAAGGTGGGCGCAAGAGGAATTTTCAGTATGGTTAAAGGTGGGCGCTTGGCTTACTTAAAACAAAGTGGTGGTGGTGGTGGTGGTGGTGGTGGTGTGGTAGCCCGTCGAAATATCTCTTCCCCCTGCCTCCCCCCCCCCCCCCCCCATCACAAAAAACTCTGGAGGACAGGGGCCAGCCAACGAAGTCTGAGCTGCCATGTCGCAACGCCCATGAAAGGGGTCTGCATGTCTCAGTTAAATGGGAACCCATCCAATCTCAGTGTTCTTGATTTTAAATTATTTCTAGAAATGTCAATTGTTGGGTGGCCGATCTGAGCTTTTGAAATAAAATGCTTTAGAAAAACTTGCACTCCTCCGAATAAGGGCCATAAAAGATCTAGGTCAAAAACCTAACCCTTACAGGCCCTCAGCGAAATGTAAATTTGGCATGGATTTATTTCCGGCACATTTGGCAGGCAAACGGTTATTCGGGCGACTGCCAAACCCCATATTATAGGGACTTTGGGTTAGGGTTAGTGTTAAATTACTAGGGACTACTACTAATCCTAACTCCCTCCCCCTTCCCCCCATAATACGGGATTTCGCTAAATCTCGCGTGATGTGGTGGCTCAACAGAAAAACACTACTCATCCCAATTTTACAGATCACTGGGGGCCTGTAAGGATATGTTTTCGACCTAGATAATTTCGGGCCATGGTTCGGAGGAAAGCCGAAAAACTCATAATACCGTGGAGGAAACGGAAGAAAAACATCGTAAGAGAAAGTATTTTGGCCATCTTAAACGACACGGTGGCTTGGGAGGATCGGTGCTTGTGGGTACAGTTTTAGGAAACTGAAGCATAGGCCAAAACCCGCAAATGATTTGATTTGATTTGATTCAAGAACGGACATCGCAGCACTCGGGCATTCCCATAAGCGCTCCATCCCATCTTCAGCAGCCAGCGAAGAGTTCCGATACTAATGGTGCCAGTAGCATTCTGATTAAATGTCCGTCTTGCCTTTCCTCTGAGCAACGAGCATCTGCCAAAACCTCTCGTCACTCCCCGCTGAATCAATCTCACTAGACTGAGGTGATCCGTCTGCTCCTCCGAACTGTACACGCTCTCCCACAAGCCACTAACCACGTCTGCCTTATCATGCATCAGTTTTCCACCAAGCTGTGCAGAGCCAGGCAGTTTGTCCGTCTGTTCATTTCCCAACACACCGGCCTACCCTGGTGAGAAAATCCAGACAATACTCCTCACGCGTGTCCTCCGCAGCGAATCATGCCACTCTGCACGAAGCATACCTGTCCTGATTTTCCTCATCATGCTTTCTGAGTTAGCTACAATCACGATGTGTGTGTGTGTGTGTGTGTGTGTGTGTGTGTGTGTGCGCGTGCGTGCGCGTGCGTGCGCGCGCGTGTGTGTGTGTGTCTCGCAAATGTGGATACATAACGTTGAAGATGTAATGGCTGTGAAAGCACATCGGGCTGGAGAATTGGCTAAAGAAAAAGAGACTTCCAGGCATGCCGTGACGACAGCGACGTTCTATAGAGGACCTGCTGAGTGATGATGTTACCGAGAGTGGCGAAACTATCAGCACTAAGGGTGGAGAAGCTAACCACTCACCAGAGCGCTCGTTTCCGCCTGAGATAGCGCATACTGTAGTTCACGCCGGGATGTCAGGACAGCCTAACTCGTGCATGGCTGGGTACTTGAGACCACCACCGGCCTCTGTGTACATTGACTTGTCTGAAATGATAGAAATGTTTGTCAGTGAACTGTCGTGTCTTTTTCGATAGGCAAACCGTGATGAGGGCGACGTTCTGCAAAGAACCTGCTACACGATGAACAGTACTGTGTGTTTTGAATACCCTGAAAGATGGAAAAAAAGAAATACTGACATCATTAGATGTGACGACTAAGGAACATTTGCTCATAGCCAGCATCTTGTCCTCGGAAACTGAAATAATGCGGTCATTTGAGATGCTACGGTGGTTTGAGGACAACGGTAACGGGGGTGTGTTGAGGGAGGGGGTGGAGGTACCGGGTAAGAGGGGCAGGCACCAGCAAGCAACAAAGCGGTCACAGGGTCGCATATTGGCTCGACGGTAGACGACTTCGTCGCTTATGAGGACAGTATTTGGGTCTGTCTCCTTTGATCGCAATCAGCACCTCAGGAGTCCTTTTCAGTGCACTTGGAGGCGTGCAATGTTAAGCCATTTTACATGGTGCACATAACCTAGTCACAATTATAACCTATAGCTCCCCCTTCGATGATGCTAGTTGAACGTGACGACCCCTTTCCCCCTCTTAAAAAAAAAGAAGCGATCAACTACCTTCTAAGATGCATGTTGTAAAATGCGACTAATTAGGAGTTTGGTTAAATCGGTTACTGACACGAAAGACACAGATACTTTAACCTAGCTGTGAACCACAACGCAGCGCGCCAACCGCTCCTTTAATGCAGAAGAAGGAGAAGAGGAGGAGGAAGTGAAAGAAGAAGAACAAAAAGACAGTTTCAAACAAATCCACTCCAACAGCAATGGAAAAACACTGGTAACAGGAAGAAACCGGAAGTTAAATGTGGAAGCAAGATGTTATCTTTGGGACTTGTCTACAGTCTCCGTTTTCTGAACGTGGTGGCTGATGGGTTCAAGTGGTCATCGTTCTGGCTAGCTAGAGTCACTTCTCAGTAAAAGCAGGTCACGGCGGAAAGCGGCCAGCGCAAAATGGGGTTAAAGGTCAGCATTGTGGGCTTCTGTTGGTGTAGTAACAAACTGAATCCAACACGTTCGGTCTGGCTATGTAACTAGAGCATGCAACGTGTCCAGTGAAAACATAACTGGTCAAACTATCTTCAACAGCATGGGAAAATTGTCTTTCAGTGAGATAAGCAACCTATTACCGATGAGATTAGTCAAATGATATGTGAAAAATCGGTCTCGGAAATCATTGCAAAAACA